GAATTAAAAGACTATCAAAAATCCTACTATTTTTGTAGCACAAATACTGAGTGCTACTACAACTGCTCTTGAAGGACAACAAGCAATAACTGAGTCTGGCTGGAAGTATATTTCCCAACTGTAGGGCTCTAGATGTGATAGCTGTCCAACTAAGCGATACTTATGCCCTAATGGGAGAATGTTTTCTATGTTAAAAAATTAGATAAAGTGGTACAATAGTTTGAAGTTCTAAAACACAGTGTTAAAGTCCTTGAAGAGACAGAACAGTACCCCATAAGTTAGGATTGGGCAGATTTATTTAGCTGGCTGCTATGAGGAATAGGGTTTCATTCTACATTACAGGACTTAATCAGATTAGTTTCTGTGATTATACTGTTCACTACCTTATTTTGTGATTATACTGCTCACTGTCTGACTAGTGCATCCAACAACTAATAGCCATTACCACAATAATGGTAGCCCAATGCCTAGAGGTGTTACAATGAATAAATTCAACTGAGACCACCTATACAAAGGAACTTTTGATCTGAGGATGTGACTTAGCCCTACTAGCTCTCTTACTGTATACTACCCTCTCTTCTATGTGGAAATGACATATCAGGAATGAGCATTCCTGGAGATGAGGGATCAGTGTTGTTCTCCCAATGACATACCAATGATACTTCCCAATGGTTGATCATCAATGCTTTCTCATAAAAGATCTCAATCCAAAGAGGGAAACATGAAAGAAAAACAGCAAAATGGAGTTGATGTTGTCAGGAGAGCACCGTAAAATACAGCTGGGAAGTCTCTGGGAAGCTGAGCTAACTCCCTTCCATGTGAAACTGAACTTTTGAACTGTGCTAAACCAAAGAGCTACATCCTCATACAGTTTCTGGAACTGATTCTGCATCACTAAACTCTCTATTAAATAATAAAATTTCCCCCTAGAAATGGACATAAGCAAGCAGTCATGGATAGCATAGTGTAAATTGGCTTGTCAGCCCCAATCACAGCTCCTTCGAAGCAATTTATGTAATTCTTTTGAAAGCCTCCCCTTTTCAGTCTTTTCCCCTCCTCAGAACACATTGGACTTCTACTTAAATCTGTGACTTAAGATTTGAAATTCCTAAGGCCTCCAAATAAATCTTTTGTTTGCCTGCCAGTTCTTGGCAAAATTGATTGACACTGTCAAAATAAAGATATCAAAATAAATCAGTAGGTGATATGGTATGTTGGGAAGTGGTAAGTATTATGGAGGAAAAAAGAGAACAAAGAGGGGGAAGAAGGGAAAACTGGGAGGGAGGATAGGGAGGACATTATTTTGATATCTTTATATTTGATTGAAATAAATGATTTCAAACAGAGTGGTTAGGAAAATCCAGTGAGAAGTCATTTACCAGAGTTTAACCCTGGTGAGCGAAGAGTCATAGGGCCTTTTGGGGGGAAGTCATTCCAACAAGTGCAAAGACCTTGACTTTGCTTTCCTTATTAGTTCTTATTTTGCCCATTTCCTCTCCTCAGGTAATTTGGTAATGATGGGAGTGAAAAATAACTTTGAAGTCCTAATTAATTTAACAATGTTGACCTGCTGTTTTTCCTGGCCTTTGTCACCATCCTCTTTAGCTCATGATGAGTTTCTTTACCCACCGGTCCTGAGAGAGAAACCCTGGATGAGAACAGTGTTGAAGACTAGCAATTATCTCATCTCTAACTGGGTTGAGATAGAGAGAAAGGGCTGCGAAATCAACTAAGAAAAGAAATCCAATTTCAGTGTTTCCCTTTATAAAAGTCCTATTTCTTACAAAGTTAAGCATATGAAGGAAGGCTCTCAGGACTCTATTCAATGCCAGGGACAATAGAAAAAAACACACACAACAAAGCACCTCAAAAAACAAAACAAAATCTATTCATGTAAAAGGCTAATATGCTGTGCCCTTCCCTCTGGGTAATGATGTCACTTAGCAACGCCCGGCTTCCTCTCCCTAGCAACGACTAGCTGCTTGCAGTTTCTTCAGCCCAGGAACACGACTTGCTTTATAGCCAGGTGGAAACACTTTATACTGTAATCAAATGTCTGTGACGTGTTTTCCCGTGCCTCATCTCATTTGATCCTCATGGAAGTCATAGAGTAGGTAGATAGGAGACTTGGTCGAATCCTATTTTCTTTTCATTAGCTGGAAAATGGAGATTTTAGAAAACTTAGAAACTTGACCCATCTGAAAAGAAGAAATGGTGGACCTTGAAAATGATTTCAGGTTTTCTCACTGCACAGAACATAGTCAAACACTGCTTCAGTTAAATATTTTACCCTATGTTCTCCCTGGGTGATCTACAATAATAATCTGCTTCATGTTCATATTTACTGCTGTGTTGCAAACAATCACCTGAAAGAGAAGTTGGGGTGCTTCACTGGGCTGGAAAAAGTTTAGCTACATCAGAAAGCAGGTCTAATTAAGCAAGTATATTCTATGTCTATAAAAGGCTAAGTTGACTCGTGCATGCACAATACATAAAAGCTCTCGCTGGTTCCCATTGCACATGTGTGTTTCCATCTTTCATTGTCTATCAGTAAATTTGGTTGACACTTTTATTATAGAGAAAGGGCAAATAGCGATATTAAAATATTTCTTCTAATTAATTTCCTTTCAATGTGCATGAATTTGTGCACTGGGCCACAAGTTATAAATAAATAATCCCATTCTATTTCATACATTTTAAAATTAAATAGATAACATAGAGGTTGATACAATTTAACATAAAATACCATTTCTATTATAATTTAAAAAATACATCTGAAAAGATTTCAGAGAGGAAGAGAGAGGGACAGAGGTAGAAACATCAATGATGAAAGAGAACCATTGATTGGCTGCCTCCTGCATGCCCTGACTGGGAATCGAACTGCGACCTTGATCCCTCATAGGTGGTTCATAGGTAGACGCTCAACCAGTGAGCCATGGCGGCCAGGTTTTAGTATAATTTTAAAGTATGGACACCTAAGAGAAAGTTATAAAACTTCTACTTTCCTTCTATTAACTCCAATTTAAAAAATGGTCCTGTTGTTCTCACTCTATGTTTACATGTATTGTGATGGTGGTGGCAAAGGACCTGTCTGGCAAGGCTCTACTATGAAAGTGCCTTAAAAAGTAAAAAGTGTGTTATTCAAACATCAAGCATCACCACTGTTCACTAGGTGCATTGTTATTTCTTTTAGTAATATGGCAACAATTTAATAGCATCACAAGATAGACATGAACTCCTTCCCTTCCCCCAGCTGGCCCTGCCCCCTGGTCAAACTCCCAGATGAACTCGCGGTGGAAGTGACAATTTGCATACTATGCTTTTATTATATAGAAGGAGGATGATTGTTATACACCTCAAACTAATATAATGTTATGTGGCCAGTTGTACTCAATTAAACAAATAGTACTTACCTGCTTTATAGTATTTAAGTGAGATAGTGCCCAGGACTCCATTAAAAAAAAACCAAATAGCAACCAATGCTTGGCATAAATAAAGCACTCAAAGACGCTGGCAATTATTAAACTAGAGGCCCAGTGCACCCATTTCTGCAAGGATAGGGTCCCTAGAGGCTGCCAGCTACTAGCCAGAGCTTCCCTTCACACTTGCCTTGGCCTGCTGCCACCCACTCACCTGCTCCACCATCCCACCCTGGTCCAGCTCTCATGAAGGCCCATAGGGGCTGGCAGAGCCTCCACTGCTGCCTGCTGCCAGTGCCACATCACCTTGGCCATGTTACTCACTGCCCCCGGTTGGTGGAACTCCCACTCGTAGGAACAATATGCATATTAGCCTTTTATTACATAGGAATTTGCAAAAATACCTACAGTGGAAGGACATCTCTGTGTTCTATTGAGAACTACCATAAGCATACATCTCTCAGGATATCATGTCACCTTTTGTGTACTGTCAAAAAATCAGCGACATCAACTTATCATTAGTTTGGTTATCTCCTGGGCACTTATTAAATCCTTATTCTGTTAGGTCTTGTGCCAGGGAATTACCCTGTTTCCCTGAAAATAAGAGAGGGTCTTATATTATTTTTTTCTCCCAAAGTTGCGCTAGGTCTTATTTTCAGGGGATGTCTTATCTTTCCATGCGCTAGGTCTTATTTTCGGAGGATGTCTTATTTTCGGGGAAACACGGTAGTTGCTCTTAATCCAATACTTGATCATTGGGGGAAACAGTTTGCAGCGCTATGACATCTGAAGTATATGTCAGTGCTTCCAAAAGGTTATTGTGAGAAAATAACCAAGAACACCTTGAAAGGCACCCAAGTCTGGCGGGAAGGTGAGAAGGGCTGGGCATTGTGCGCTGGGATGTGCAGAAGGGCGCTCCCTGCCTCTGACTACCAGTTGGTGTTCAGAAGGCTCCGACATTCTTTCTTTTCTTTCTTTCTTTTTTTTTTTTTTTTTTTTTAATATATTTTATTGATTTTTTATAGAGAGGAAGGAAGAGGGATAGAGAGTTAGAAACATCGATGACAGAGAGAGAGAGTCATCAATCAGCTGCCTCCTGCACAATCCCACTGGGGATGTGCCCACACCAAGGTGCATGCCCTTGACAGGAATCAAACCCGGGACCCTTCAATCCGCAGGCCGACGCTCTATCCGCTGAGCCAAACCAGCCTCGGCTCCGGCATTATTTCTAACCGGAGGCTGAACAGATGGAGGAGCTGCTCTTCTTTGGAGTGAAGTCACGTGCCCACAGGCGAAGGTGGCAGCCCAGAGCGCCCTTCCCCCTCTGGCCGGAGGGGCCTCACCTGGCACAGGTGTCCCCAGGTGGCCGAGCGCGGGGCCACCCGGCTCTCCTCCCGCTGGGAGCCGGCGAGGGGAGGCGGGAGGGGAGGGGGGCAGGCTGGCCGCCGCGGGGATCCGGAGCTCGCTGGCCGGGCACCCGGCCGAGGGCACCCCGCGAGGCGAGGCCGCGCCTCCTCCCGGAACTGGCCGGCGGCCGGCGGGAGCGGCGGGAGCCGGGCGCCGCGCTCTGCGCCGGGGGCCATGGAGGTCCCGGAGCCTGAGGCGGGGCCGGAGGACATCGCGGAGGAAGCGGTCCCCGCAGGGCCCCCGGCTCCCCCCCTGCGGGAGCCCCCGGATGCCTGGGAGGGTGAGGAGGACGCGGAGCCCGGCGAGCGGCGGGGCGGGCGCCCCGGCCGCACGGCGTCCCTGGTGAGCGGGCTGCTCACCGAGCTGTACAGCTGCACCGAGGAGGAGGAGGTGGCGGCCGGCGGGGGCCGCGGGCCCGGGGGCCGCCCGCAGCGCCGGGACAGCCTCGACAGCCCCACCGAGGCCTCGGGCTCCGACGTGGTGCTGGGCGGGCGCGGCGACTCCCGGGAGCTGCAGGAGCTGCAGGAGCTGCGGGAGCGGCCGAGCCTGCGGCACCAGCGGCTGTACCTGCGGCAGAAAGGTGAGGCCGGGAGGGGGGTCTGCGGGGCGGTGGGTCTGCGGGGCGGGGGGCCACTCGGAGGGAGCGGCCACAGCCCCCCACCTCCACCCCGCGCCCCGCCCTGCGCTCCCGGGCCCCGCGCTCACCTGTGCGCCCCCGGCCTGAACGGTCCAGCGCGCAGGTGTTAAGTTCGGGGTGTCTCCATCGGTGTGTTGCTGGCGTCCACAGTGTCACGGAACACGACTAGACGTACTTCATACCGTCCCCCCCCGCCCCATCCCCTTGGAGCCGCGGAGCGCAGCCCGGTTGTTGGCGTGGCAGCCGCGGTCCCCGCCCCGCGTGTCGGCGGAGGCTCCGCGGGGGGAGGCAGTCCGGGTTCTGGTGTCGCCGGAACAGCTGTTAGGACAGGTCTGGGGTTTCCGATAAGTGCACGCGACATAGGGCGCTGGGACCCGTGAGGCATCTGGGGGCTATTTTATTTTATTTTATTTTATTTTTTAGTTTAAATAATCCGCCTCCTTGGCCACACTACTTGGGGATAGTGTTTGACCATCATTCCATAATTCGGTTTCCAAGCAGAACGTGTGAATTCCGTTTCTACCGGAACGGCTGGTTTCAAGAAGCTCGCTAGGTGGGCTTTTTATTAGTGGAGGGCCCTAGTGTGTAGGCATTATCACTGGGAGGATGTTGACATTATCGGCGGGAGAGGTCATCTGAACATGGCCTTGGTTTTCAGGGCGAGAGGAGAATTTGGTGTTTCTTTTGTCATTAGACTCTAATGCTGTGTCCTAATTGAGATCGCTCTCCCATCCCCGCAACTGTTAGTAAGTAGTTTGCCCTTCTGGCACTAACTCAGTTATTACAGTTGTCTTTATTAAAACAGATAGGTCAAGACTTCAATTTACAAAATGAAGTGAGATGTGGAAAACATGCTAAAACCACAGCATTTCTTGAATTCATGTCCTTGTGCTAATCTGTCAGGGGAGAGGGGGAAAGAGAGGATGCATACTAGAATGATATCCTGTCTGCTCTAATTGAAAAATCAGACGAGCTGGTGCTAGAAAACAAAAGGAAAGGAAAAAACATAACCAGAAAAGGAATAAATCTGTCTGCTTTCTCAAATCTATGTAAACAGCTTTCAGCTTCCTCTTTTGGCTTCCCAGTGAAGATATGTTTCCCAGCTGATTGTTACAAATGACTTCCACCTTCCTCCCCCTGCCTCCGACTTGGCTGGAGTTGTGCCATTTCGTTTTATACAATTATTTGGCTGCTCTCAGAGCGTCTGTTTATGCCTGGAGTTCTGTAGGGCAATAGTTCTTTTAGAACCCAACCAAATCAATCTTGGAGAATCATGATTTGGCTTTTCATTACCGAGCAAATTAGGTGGATTAATAGTAATTACTTAGTAATTTCCTTTTGGAAGAGGAAATACAGCAAGCTAATTTTTAAAGAAGTAACACTACAGCTTTGCAAGTGGATTTCAAACAAGTGACCACTGTAATAATAATTCTTTTATTTATTTAAATTCTTTATTGTTTAAAGTATTACGTAAGTCTCCTTTTCCCTCCATTGACCAACTACCGGCCGCCCCCACACCCCAGCATATGCCTCACCCCCCTATCCCCCTTGTCTGTGTCCATTGGTTATGCTCATATTCATGCATGCAAGTCCTTTGGTTGATTTCTTACTCCCTCACCCCCTGCCTTCCCTCATACTTTGGACAGTCTGTTCAATGCTTCTGTGACTCTGGTTCTATTTTTCTTCATCAGTTTATGTTGTTCATTATATTCCACAAATGAGTGAGATCCTGTGATATTTATGTTTCTCTGACTGGCTTTTTCGCTTAGCATAATGCTCTCCAGTTCCATCCATGCTGTTGCAAATGGTAAGAGTTCTTTCCCTTTTACAGCAACATAGTATTCCATTGTGTAAATGTATAATAGTTTTCTATAGTAATCATTCTTAAGACCTGTAAGTAAGTGTTGCCCAGGTCTCAGTCTTATTGCATGGTTAGTTGCTTGTTAATCTTTTCTTGCAGTCAGTTCTGTAGGATGAACAAGATATCATATTCCAATAGCTATACCTCCTCCTACTTTATCAATAAACACCATTAGAGTACTAAGAAAGAAATAATCAGGTGACGGAAACAGCTGTCTGCTTAATTTTACAGCTTATTAGGTTACCTATTTTGTTTTGTGTTTTTTTTTTTTCAGGGTCAAAAAAAAAAAAATCTCTCAGCATAGTGTCTAGTAGGAAGTCTCATATAATGCATATAACCTGTGTATTGATTCTCTCATTTTTTTCTGTTAGAGATTTTGCTGTAGCATTGATGTAGCACCTATTTTTACATATTTAACATGTGTGGGTCCTTTATTTATTTATTTTTTTAAGAGTCAGGGTTTTGGTTTCTTTTCTTTCTTTCTTTCTTTTTTAAAAATATATATTTTATTGATATTTTTACAGATAGGAAGAGAGAGGGATAGAGTTAGAAACATCGATGAGAGAGAGACATCGATCAGCTGCCTCCTGCACACCCCCCACTGGGGATGTGCCCGCAACCAAGGTACATGCCCCTGACCGGAATCGATCAGGGGCATGTACCTTTCAGTCTGCAGGCCGACGCTCTATCCACTGAGCCAAATCGGCGTCAGCTGTGTGGATCCTTTATTTATTTGAGGCACCAAAATAGTTTCTCAGGAAATCTACACTCTTCTCAGTGTTTTCATTAAGGAATGAACTTTGGAGTCAAATGTTTGAGCTGATATCCTGCTACTGTTCCTTAACTAACTGGGGACTCAGGCAAGCTATTTAACCTCTCTGTCTCATTTCTCTCACTTATAAGTAGGGGTAATAATAATAATACCTACTTCACAGGACTGTACTGAGAATTATATAAGTTAATGTGTATAATGTGCTCAGTAAGTGTTAGATATAACAATAATATTTATTATAGACATTGGGATTCCTTGGTAGGAAAATTGTCCATTGTTTGTCACTTGATGATCTTATTTTTTCCTATTTATTTAAAACTGTGTTAGGAGTTGTAGCTGATGCTGTGGGGCATACAAAGATAAAGAAGACTTTATTTCTGTCTTTGGGATACCAGCAAACCATGATGTGCATTTCCAAACTCAACCCTGGAGATTTCCCCATATTGGACACTACATATAATTTAGAGATCCACAGAGATGTAGGTACCTTAAGAGTCACTGAAAAAAATGACTCTTTTGTGGAAGAAAGTATAACTTAAATGCAAGATGATAGTCCTACCCCTAGAAGGAAAAATTTTAAACATTCAAAGAAAGCCTATGTGCTCTCTCTGAAGGAATCTAAGAATGAAGAGCCTCTGATCTCCTCTGGTAGCTGGTTCTCATAGTTGATCATTCTTAGAACCCAAATAGTAAGTGAGCTCTTATTTCCCATGACATGCCACCGTGTTTGAACTCAGGGTGAGAGAAATAACTGGTCTGTGTTCTCTTCTTCATAGCCATTCCTTATTCTTATTTTAGTGCTATTTATGTTAATGTTTATAAAGAATATTCACATTTGTTTCTCAGAATAACCTAGAATCCTAAGCATACTTTGAGTCTTGGAGCACGACCTTGCCTAAGATCACACAGGTAGTTGGTTGGTTCATAGGAAGTTCGTATTCACTGAAGGTCAAATAGCATTTTCCAAATGACGTGGTCAGCTATGACAGAGGTTAAAGCAACGCCCTGCACTTCTCTTATACAGACCCACAAAGTTCACTTCCTCTGACCTCTGAAGTATTTTTCTTACTTTGGAACATTTCTTTTGTTCTCTTCTAATCCTGTCTAGTTTCTCCAAATCATTTTCAACATGAGTAGATCCAACCCCCACACAGGACCTCTGTTGAGGGCCTAGCCAACGTCACGCTGAGTGGAAGGCTTTCCTGCCTGGCAGGTCACACTGTGATGACTGACGGTAATGTCAGGAGTGACAAACAGCACTTCCAAATTGTAATGATCAGTTACATAATGATTGTTGCCACTTCCAATTCCCAAGTCTTTTTTCACTTGTCGAAAACTGCTGTTGAGAATATTAGCTTTATAAATATAGAATTATCTTTAATTTATTCATTTAAAGGAAATTTACTTTCTGCACATTTGAAAAATCATACAGAGTCTCAGAGATAAAATTATACCTAATATTCAAGCTATTGGAAGGTGGAGTATTTAAAACAAAACCAGTATTTTCACATTTACTTGCATTAGAAAACGTGGCAGTATTATTTACTTTTGACTGATTATTTGTGCCGGGCCAGCTCAGCCAAGAGTTCGGTGAGCCTTACAGTGAGTGAGGGCGGTGAAGGATTGAAGAAAAGACAAAGAGAATAAGCTGGTCTTGTGGATCGCCTGTGCCTGGCTGAGGCCACAGAGAAGGATCCAGACGCCAAGCTCATGCTTTATTTTATTTTAGGGTCAGAGGTAAACAAGGTAGTGGTTACCATAGTTACAGTGTTCTTGGTGGCTTTGCCAACAGGTCAGTCCAAGGCTTAACCCTATAGCCGCTCCCTACAATTATTTACAAACAAAGGTGAATACTTTAAAAATATTTATCAGTGAGTGAAATAAGCCAGCCAATGAAAAAAAAAAAAAAAACACCACAAGATCTCACTCATTTATGGATAAGAAGGAACATTATAAACTGATGAACAAAAAGATAGATACAGAGACAGTAAAGAAACAGACTGTCAAATTACAGCGGGGAGGATAGGGAGATATGGGGAAGATAAGAGATCAACCAAAGGAGTTGTATGCATGCATATAAGCATAACCAATGGACAAAAAAATCGGGGGAGGGGAGGAGGGCATGTATGGGAGTGGAAGGTGGGGTGGGGGATTGGTAAGGTATGTACACATATAATACCTTAATAAAAAAATGAGAAAAAATATTTATTAGGCCCTGGCTGGTTTGGATCAGGCTCTGGCTGGTTTGGCTCTGTGAATAGAGTGGACTGAAGGGCTTTGGATTTTATTCTGGTCAAGGGCAGGCACCTCAGGTCCTGGTCGGGGCCCATGTGGGAGACAAACAGTTGATGTGTCTCTCTCACATTGATGTTTCTCTCTCTGTCTCTCCCCATCCTCCTTCCCTTTCACTCTCTTTAAAAATCAATGGAAAAATATCTGTCAGTGAGGACTAATAATGACAATAAAATATTGATCAGGTTTATCATTGATGCAACAGACTCAAAAAGATTATTTTCTTACAGCTTAACCTCTAAGTACATTGACGATACCAAATACACACGCCAATTTTCAGTCTAGGAAAGGAAAATTTGCAACCATAGCTAAATATGGTAAAAGTCAAGAGTCTTGCTTACATATTACAGGTAGATAAAATTTATTTTACAGTGTTTGTCTCATTGACAGGGCAAGCAATGGATGAGTGAATTATTTGAGCAGGATATCTTAACTGAATACTGAGTGAGAACCCAGAATTACCTGCACAGATGTTCTAGAATCGAGATAATTATCTTATGATTAGTATCCTGTTGGCATTTGTATTCCTCTCAGGGTGTTTATCGTTCTGTTTTAAATCTTCTTTTCGGATAGACACTAATGAACTGAAGACGATTCTCCGAGAGCTTAAGCACAGAATTGGCATTCAATCGGCAAAGCTGCTCCGGCAGCTGAAGCAGAAAGATCGGCTCCTGCATAAGGTCCAGAGGAACTGCGATATCGTGACCGCCTGCTTGCAGGCCGTGTCACAGAAGAGAAGTAAGTGCTGGAGTGGGGTTAGCCCTTTGGCCACATGCGACTGGAATGGTAGTGAGCCGAGTCAATGGTAGCGTTTTTTAATCTGTTGAAAAGTTTTAAATGGAAACTTATCCCCTCAGAATTAAGAACTAGGAACTAGTTTTGCTTTGTTTTTTCCCCCCCAGTTGAAATGTATGTTGCATGTCTGAAGTTACAAACTTAGTTTTCTTATTCTCAATTTGCAGCAGCACTTCACTGTGACATTGGTTATTTTTACATGATGCTAAACAATGACAACAATCTTTATTCTAAAAACAGCACCCAATAGATACAACCTAACAGGCATATCTTTGTTTTTGTATTCTCATTGTGCTTAGTAAGTGGATTAAAAACTGATTTAAAAGGAGACTTTTGTAACAAGATCTTACCATTTGCTCTGAGACCTGAAAGGGACAAAATACTTTAACAAACGCATCTATAGGTAATCTGGTCATAGCTAAGAGATGCATGATTTGTTAATTGAGTTAAAACTTGTTAAATTACTAATGCATGTCAAATACCAGATAAAAGCTTATGGATTAGTTTTATATTCTCCATGCAGTCATTTTTATGTTTTATTCTGCTAACGTTTCCCTGTTTTTGTTTTGTATTCTTTATTAACATGCAGCATGGCAGAACAGTATGTTCAGGTATGGTAAATACAGGCACCAACAAAGTGTTTTGCTAAAACACCTGTGGCAACTTTTTAGGTGCATGTGAAAGTTGCCTTTTCCTGTTCCTTTACTCTGTCACATTTAATATGTAAAGTGACACCTCTTAGAGTTTGTTTTTTTTTTTAATTCCAAATTAAGATATGTTTCTTTTTATAAAACAATTTTCAGGGCATGGATAGTTTCAGATTACATTAATGGTTATATTCTATTCTTATGTTTATTATTGGAAGAAAGTACTATGTTTTCTTCCTTCTCTTTTGTTATATCACTGTTTGTTATCCCCAAATTCTTCTTCTTGCTGTTTACTAAAGAAGGTTTCAACTTAATGTGTATTAAGTACAATGATGCTAGATTATCATCCTATATAAGACAAGGCTAATATGCAAATCGACTGAACTGCAGAACTACCACTTGCTATGATGTGCACTGACCACCGGGGGGGGGGGGGGAGGGGGGACAGACACTCAATGCAGGAGCTGCCCTCTGGTGGTCAATGTGCTCCCACAGGGGGAGCGCCACTCAGCCAGAAGCTGGGCTCATGGCTGGCCAGCGCAGCGCTGGTGGTGTGAGCCTTTTTTACCTCTGTGGCAGTGCTAGGATGTCTGATTGATGGCAGGGAGCGGGCCCAAGCCGTCAGTTTGGACATCCCCTGAGGGCTCCTGGATTGCGAGAGAGCGCAGGATGGGCTGAGGGACCCTCCCACCAAGTGCACGAATTTTGTGCACCGAGCCTCTAGTAATGACATAACGGTCCATGTGAGAAGCAGGAATGTTGTTGAGTATACTTTTTTTTTTTTTTTTTTAAAGCATATATATTTTAATTGATTTCAGAGAGAGGAAAGGAGAAGGGGAGAGAGATAGAAACATCAGTGATGAGAAAGAATCATCGGCTTGGCTGCCTCCTGCACAACCCCCACTGGGGATGGAGCCCACAGCCCAGGCTTGTGCCCTGACTGGGAATTGAACCATGATCTCTTGTGGTTTGTGGGTCAATGCTCAACCACTGACAACACAGGCTGTGTGTTGAGTAGATTGTTTTCAAATAGAGTTTTCTCCAGAGCCAGGAACTTGTCTGAAATAGCGAGAAAAGGAGGAAGAAATAGCTATGTAGATGTGTATATATCTATATCTGTCTATAAAACATTGGCATGCATTATAGAATCTGATGTTTCTCCATGGATTCTGATTGATTCACAAGTGCCCAGTAGATATGTTATCATTTTGCTCTTTTATTTTAAGATACAAGTTTTGATTTTGATATTTCTCTTTTCACAATTGTGTTTTCATCTACCCATTATTGTTGCTTGTATCAAAAGTTAAAAGCACAAAGTGGTAAGTGCACTTTGTGGTAAGTGGAGTTTGGATGTGTGGGATAGCATAGGGGAGATGGAGCCAGTGCGAGGAGACCGAGAGGAATGTCTGGCTAGAACAGGACCATGGGCTGGTGATTATCAGGGACTGATAGCCATTAAGGATTTGAACCTTCCTGCTTGATGAAAGGACCAGCATTTATGTCTTTTTAGAAAAATGTGTCCATAAGCATCATTTAACTTGTAAATTAGTGAATGCACACTTCCCATTGTTGATTTAATGGTGCATCAAAATGATCACTTTCAGCATATGATACTGCTTTATGATGTAGATAAACAGTGTTAGAAATTTGATTAGGTGGTTCTTTGAAATCCCTTTTAGATCTCCAGAGGTTAGATGTTTTGTGACTAAATCCTTGCTTTCAGTAGTTTCACTTTTTGCCTCTTTCCTCAAGTCCAATAATAACAATTAGAGTTCTGAAGAGTTGAGATTTTACTGTCACTCTAAACTTTCATTTTAGTACTGATTGGCACTGATGCATTCAAATACACGTTGACTCATTTACATTTAATATGCAAAAATCCAGATAACCTTTCCCCCTCACATGGATTCAGTGCTTATAGTCCTTCCCATAAATGACTTTCCTCCTTCCATAACCTACTTTGGAATACAACTCTTTTAATATTTATTAAAATGGGTTATTTCCTGTTGATAAATTAAAGAGGTATAATAATTTTGAAATAATCATAAGTAAGTGTGGATTATGAACCAAAATGACTAGATCATTTTTATTTCTAACAGAGATGATGTAACTACTTAGACTTTATAGTTCCCTACACTAAGCCTTATGGTAGAATCCCTTTATTTTAAAATGGGTGGGAATAAGAAAAAGATCAAAATTTGCTTTATAGAAGAGCAGATTTCCTCCTTATATTTACTCATTCATCTAAGGATAATCATGGTATAACCAATTTAATATTAATAATAAAATCAATGCCCTAGCTGGTTTGGCTCAGTGGAGAGAGTGTTGTCCTATGGACTGAAAGGTCCCTGGTTTGATTCCAGTTAAGGGCACATGCCCGAGTTGTGGGCTCAACTCCCAGTAGGGGGAGCAAACAGGAAGCAACCGATCAATGATGTTCTCTCACCATTGATGTTTCTACCTCTTTCTCTCTCTCTCTCTCTCTCTGAAATCAATAAAAATATTTAAAAAAATAAAATCAATAATAATAAGAATGGCAGCAGCTGTAACCATTCATTATATACTTGCTTTCTGCCAAAATGTTGTTTTTATCTCACAGCAATTCAAATAAATGTATCTATTTTTAGGCACATTGTGTTAGGAAACTGAGATTCAGAAAATTTAATTTGTTAAAGTCTCATAGATAAGTGGTTGAGATGGAATTTAAAGCTAGATACCTCAAAAATCTACTCTTTCTACCATAAATTGTGACAAGAGGGTTCTATTTCTAGCAATTAATTGATACTTCTGTAATATTATTAGAATACTAGAAGTCTGATACACAAAATACATGCAAGAGTAGGCCTTCCTTCTCCCGGCTGCCGGCACTGGCTTCCCTCTGGCACCCGGGACCCAGGCTTCCCTCTCAGCCCTGGCTTTGTCTGGAAGGACATCCAAAAGGACATCCAGTCTAATTAGAATATTATACTTTTATTATTATAGATGGCTGTCACAATAAGAAATTTGTAACATGCATAGGACATAATACAATTTTCAGGTTTATGTATTCTGAGTATGAGTCTTTGTCAGATATATGTGTTGCAAATACCTTTTCCATTGATTTTTTTTTAGAGAGAGTGGAAGAGAGAGGTAAAGACAGAAATATCGATGTGAGAGAAACACAGCAATTGGTAGCCTCCTGCATCCCCTGACCAGGGCCTGGGCTGGGGACAAGCCTGCAACCAATGTACATGCCCTTGACTAGAACTGAACCTGGGACCCTTTGGTCTGCAGGCTGATGCTCTATCTATTGGCCAAACCAGCTAGGGCTCTGCTGTTGCTTTCTCAAATTTCTTAATTTTTGAACAAGGCGTCCATAAATTATGTAGTCAGTTTTGCCTTTATGGCTGGTACTTTTTCTATCCTGTTTAAGAAATCTTCTTTCAATAGCAAACTCATGAAGAATTTCTCCCACATTATTTTCTAGAAGCTTTATTGTTTTGTTTTCATATCTGGATCTAGATCCACCTGGAATGGATTCATTATGCTGTGTAACATGAAAGGACTCCTATTGCATTTTGTCCACATGGATATCTGATGGACCCTGTTTATTGAAGAGGCCATTCTTTTACCATTGCTCTGGGGAGCTATCTATCTGTCTATCTAGAAAAGCCTAAGCGACTGTTACGATGTGTTGACTGAACTACTGGTCGACCAGTCGCTATGATGCACACTGATCACCAGGGGTCAGACATTCAATGCAGGAGTCTTTTAATTTATAAATATGGTATTTTAAAATTTATGTGAATATTTTACAGTTTTCTATGTAGAGGTCTTTTGTATATGTTTTACTAGATTTATTCTTAAGTAGCTCAGATTTCTTGATGCTCTTTTTAAATTGGTATCTTTTTAAAAATTAATGATCTGTTTGTTTCTAGTACATATAAATATAGTTGTTTTTGCATATTGACCTTATATCTAGTAATCTTACTTTTTCTCTTTTTTTTATTCTAATTATCTGTAAGTTATTTTGTATGTTTCTAAGTATATAATCTTCAACATCTGTGAGTATTGTCATGCTGGGGGTCTTAATCCAGCATCTAAAAGGGGTTCCAGAATCTGGAGAAGACGCTGTATTAATCAAGAGTCCAGAGACAAAACAATTTTGAAGGGCATATTTGGGGGGGCCAGAAGAGCTTGGCTAAAGAAACCAAATTCTCCCTTGACTCAAGGACCCCTGTCTTTTTATTTACACAAATTGTCCTAAGGCAAAATAGATATACACATAAAGGCCAGGGTTTAGTTTACAGAATCCAT